TTTCAAGCGGTGGAGATTAAAAAACAACACTTGATTCATAATCAACAAATTTCAAAATGACGCGTAACATATATACATATAAATTGCTCATAAAAAATGATACTATGTATAGTGTTTTTTTATCTTGAAAATATAAAATCATCAAAAGAATAATATAATTTATTCTTTTGCCCTTATTCTAAACTGTTTTATCCAATTCATTCCAATATTTAATTGAAAAAGTTAATTCTATTTACTACTACTAAATATTGAATTAATAGAATTATCATGTCAAATTAATCACAATGATGCCACCTAATGAACAAACATTTTAAATCGCTGATAAAAACATTTTAAAAATGCTAGTCATGAAAGTGAAAATTAATTGATAGTAAAAAATAATAAATTAGAGCAATATTAAAGAGATATATATATATATATATATATATATATATATATATAGAAACAGTGGTAAAATTGTTCAACAATTATAATTGAAGAAAACACTCTATTGCTAAATATCGCATTAATGATTGTCTATGCCATGTTTATGATATGTAATTCGTTCATATTTGTCGTTTGTCCATTCGTAACATTCGCACCACACGTTGTTTTTGTCGGAAAATGATTATTTGATGGTAATGGCTTATGGCAAATATCAAGACCTATGAACCAGGGGTCCTCTGTAATTTGCTCAGCAGTGATACGTAATTCGGGATTTGGTTCTATTATTTTGAACACAATACGACGTCGATCCTATTTATGACGAAAATTAAGTGTGAATTATTAAGGATATAATATTAGAGATATATTATTAAAATATTAATAAATATGTTTTACCTCTGTTAATCTTTTAAAAGGTGCTAAAAAATATTCTTCATGTTCCCTTGACGCTAGGTAGATATTGTAGTCAAAATCTTCATGTTCTTTGGCGATGTGCCAAAGAAATCTACCAGTAATCATCTTCATGTAAATGATTCCACAAGCCCAAACATCAACAGATCTTGGGTCAAACCATTTACCAGTAAACGCTTCGGGAGCAATGTAAGGAACACTACCGCAAGCCCCACGTGATAAATGAGTATGTGTTTCCCATGCCATCTTGAAACATTCACCATTTCCGAAATCCGTAATTTTGAGACATCCGGTCGAGGTGAGAACAAGATTTTCAAGTTTAAGATCCCTGAAAATAAAAGAGTTAATAAACATATTCCGTAAATTATAAACATTATAAGCGTTCAATAACTTATTTACCTATGAGCAACACCACTCTCATGCAAATAATTGACACCATTAATCAATTGCCCAAAGAAACAATCAGCTTCATTTTCTTCCAAGCCACCTGAAGAAGCAATCAAGGAAGATAAATCTCCACCAGTACAATATTCCATAACTGCGCAATAGCATCCTTGGGCATCCTGAAGCAAATCTATTGTGTCAATTATATTAATATGGTGAAGGGAAGAGGAAATACAAAATTCGGATATCAAGCGTTTGATATATTTTTTTTGAGGTTCGTTATGGAGTTTTTTGAATTCCTAAATCATAATTTTGAATAAAAATAAAAATTATTTCTTAGATACTCTCCTGTGAAAAACACAAATTAAAAGATTAAAAAAAAAAAAAAGAAAAAGAAAAAAACCTTAACAGCAAAAAGCTTTTCACCCGGTAGTTGCGGTTCTGTTTTGTGAGCAACACGGACAGTGCCAAACGCACCTGAATAATAATGATGTTAAATGTGATTTATGTGATATGAAACGTAATACTGTAAATAAATATGAATATAATTAAATAAAGCGCACCTTTTCCAATGACCTCCTGGGGCTTTCCATATTTTTCCGACAAAGCAGAACAATTAGATTTATCGGTCTTTTCTTCGTAGCACTTTCTTCTTTTTGAGATTTTTCATCCATTGGAGCATGTCCATGAATCCCAAGTTCTTTTAAGAGATTATTAATATGATAAACTTTTTTTGGTTTCAAATTGTGAACATGTGATCCAGTATTGAGTTTCTGAAAACGTGGTTTTGAAGCACTTGAATTTATGGGTCGAGCATTATTATTTTTTTCGGTTCGTTCATCTTCAGGACCAACGGAATTTTTCGAACTTTTGAAGGTTTTTGGTTTATCAACTGACGGTTCTACATGAAACACTTTTTGGAATGTCGCCTGTAAAAGATTTGTTCTACCCTCTTTTTGTTTTGTGATATTGGAAGTTGGTCTGATATCCTTGTCATAAGTCTTTTGATCCGAGTCGTTTGTTGAAGCTACTAGTTGATTATTGTTGTCTGTCAAAAAAAAATACATATATATATAATTGAGTGATGATAACGATAATCATTTATTCTTTTATAGTTTGCATTAAAAATGCATACCGGCTTGGTCTTTTAAGTTATGCATTAGAATAGTAATTCTTTTAGACCGATAGAATAAACGGTAACTAACGCTGTTTATAGAAGTAAAATCGAATATGAAGAAATTTCAAAATTTAAAAAATACACTGATGTAATTTGATTATTTAATTAATTTGATTAAAGCTGTTCTCAAGCATCTAAATCAATTGATCATGTAATGATCGTGATGACGCTCAGGCATCACTATTGATGACAATATTTATAGAATTGAACGTTTGAGCACTTTTTTCTGAATTTCGTAATTTTCGCTATGCCTAAAAAACCCAATAAAAAAATTTTTACTCAACCATCTGCCGAAGCT